GAACACATACATTCATCCACTAATTATATGCAACAGACATGGGAATAAAGCAAAAATGTTTTGCACAACTGATCACGAACACTGGATAACTGAAGTCAATACCAGGCTATAAAGCACAGTAAAACAAACACTATAGAAAATAAAAGCTAGAAAGAAAGCTTTTTTATTTTAAGAATATACTACAAATATAGTAAAAACACTGAACAGTTGTGAAATGGTCAAAAATAAAGTTTGAAACACATTATCTACCNACTAAGCGTTTGTAGGCATGTGTTAGGACTATCCAATTACAGTGAAAAACAGTTGAGAACAGTAGAAAGTCTATAACCTATCAACAGAACACATACATTCATCCACTAATTATATGCAACAGACATGGGAATAAAGCAAAAATGTTTTCCAGAACTGATCACGAACACTGGATAACTGAAGTCAATACCAGGCTATAAAGCACAATAATAACAGTTAATAACCTGTTGCAAAAAACATGTTGACAGTCAACAGACACTTTTTAAAATCTATTGGTCAACACTTGAGATGTACCTTATATTCTACTGGCAGTTAGTTAAATGCATGTTGATTGTCAACTGATGACTTATAGAGTGTTAACTATGGACTATCAAAATAAAGTGTTACCGAATAGGAAATATCAAAATAATGTTTTATTTATATTTTTTTTAATATATCAATATTGTGATAATATCTTTATTGTGAATTAATTTGGCTATGATTTAAAGGGTAGTGAAAATATGAGCTGACCTCGCTAGAACTAACATTTACTGTAAATGTAATCTGCTGGTAATTTTGGTAAAAAATGCCATAACCCCTGAGTCGATGTCATGCTTTGTCATACCAACAGTATAAGACATAAAAAGGAAAAAAAGGAAAATTAATTCTAATAACTCAGTATCTGGAACTTATATATGTTTGTCAATATTGTTTGAAATATTACATAATTGTTAAAATATTTAGGGATTGTTGTGACTTAATTGATTAATTGACTTAGATTGATTAACTGTTTAAGCACTAAGCAAATGTAAATGTTCAGATGTATAAAAGCGCTGTGTTAAGGCTGCACAGCACTGATTGAATACTCAGTTTTTGTTAGACGTTGCTTCCTCGGCTGAAAGATCCCATGTGTATAATGTGTATGTTCAATGAAAACGGACAAAAGGGCTGAATCAGTACTATAGTGTTACAGTGTCTCAGGTAGCTCATATGTGATTGCGGTATTCATTTCCACTCCGAGCTCCGCCTGTCACTACCTTTGCCCTAATGGTACCATTGAACCACATTAATATTGATTCTGGAGCGTGCATGCCACTCAGCCTTTAGAAAGATGTTTTTCTTTCTGTGATATATATCTGTGATAAACCAGAATACATGAGAAATCTTCACAGAGAAAGATTACAAACATCAGTTCTGGTGTTGTGAGCAGCTTGAGTTTCAAAAGATTTCCACACAAAGGGAACAATGCCTCCCAAGTGAATTCTGCCCACAGAAAGATTCTCTTTTGAAGTCAACACAAAGAGGCGTCTGCCTGACAAAGACACAACTTAGAGTGAAAAATTGTACAAGTAAAGCTTGTATGCTACTCTTCCTCAACCTTCCCACAGAAGCTAAGCGGTCTGTGAACTGATGGCTGTAATCAGTTTCTTTAATGGCCGATGGACGTCACTGCAGCCTGTGTTTCACTCAGGATATCTGGTGTTGGTTCTGCATTGTGTCCACAGTGAACGGCCAACTGCACTCTCATTCATATTAATCACCCTGTCTGTTAGATATCAAACTATAATGTGAGTGTATCCTGATCCCATCTGCAGCCACTGTGTTTCTGGAGTTCTGGAAAAGACGGAGGGCAGAACTGACTTATGACTGGGATCTCATCGACTGGGAGGAGGAAGAGGTAATCCAGCCATATCCTCAAATCAATTACCTCACCATTTTAATTCATGCAGCACATCTTTTAAATGTGACACTGATTGCACAATTATAAAAAAGAAGAAGTGGAATTAATTGCACTGACTGTAATGTGTGTTGTTAATCAGGAGGAGCTGAGGCCTCAGTTTGAAGCCAAGTACTCCAGGGTGGAAAGAGTCAACCCCATCTCCGGGAAGCCCGAGCCGTTCCAGCCCTTCTCAGACAAACTCAGCCGGCTCATGGTGTCTGTGTCCGGAATATTCTTCATGGTAAACCCTTTGATCTTTGAATAATCTCCCCTTTTGGGATTCAGGCTCAGAGTGAGATCGCTGTGTTCCCTGTGCCACCTTTGGAGGGTTGTGATGTGCCAGCAGCGGCATAACATTTCCCCCTGCTGGAGGAAAAGGGAATGGATCAATAGGATGTCTTAATGATGTATTGTTTACTGATGACATTTGAATGATGAGTTTTTTGTTTACCTGAATAGTTAATTGTTTCTTAATCAATAGGATTCCTCTTTATTCTGCACTGTAATTCATTATAAGATGACATCAAACAACCTAATCTAAAGTATTCATCACACACATGCATATAACATCCCCTCCTCTATTTCTCCTTTTCTTCGTCACCTCTCTTTAGATTTCCCTCGTTCTGACAGCCGTGTTCGCGGTGGTGGTTTTCCGTCTCATTGCCATGGAGAAGTTTGCTTCCTTCAACTGGTATTTTGTGAAGAAGAACTGGCAGTTTGCCACTTCTGGCACCGGCGTCTGCATCAACTTCATGATCATCATGTCTCTCAATGTGGTGCGTGTCCGGACAAGCATCATCTGGCATGTTTACATATCCTGTCAAACAAATGCCATGACAGATTTACTCCGAACTTTGTTCAAGGAAATATCAAATTCACTGCCAGAGAGACTTTGTTTTTGTGTTTGCTGAGATTCCTGTTTGCCTCTCTTTTTCATATTCATAATCCTCCTCAACCTTTTCCATGTTGATGCTTACGAGTACTATCATCTTGTCAGGTGTATGAAAAGGTGGCCTATCTGCTGACAAATTTAGGTGAGTGTTGTCCACACTCTGCATGCATGAATACCTTTTGTTATCTCTAACATGGTTGACAAAGATTTATTTTCTCCCTCCCAACAACCCCTTTTTCTGCCCTTCTCAGAGCACCCACGGACAGAGTCTGAGTGGGAGAACAGCTTTTCTCTGAAGATGTTCCTGTTCCAGTTTGTAAATTTGAACAGCTCCACATTTTACATCGCTTTCTTTCTCGGAAGGTAGGCTGGCTGCCATGAACTGTTCCCGTTTACAGTGAATTGAATGAGCGATTGTGAAAAGATGTTTTGTTTCAAAGTGTCATGTCATCCGCCAAGACTCCTCCCCCTTCCCTCCTCACTGTATTGTTCATTGGACCTCATCTTTCAGTATTTCCATAAACTGCCATGACTAGAAATATAACCAATCAGTGGTTTATCAGACATCATTTGCACCTTTAAGTACCTTCATTTTCTCAGATTAGATTTCACAGCTAATAATTCCAATCTCAATCTGTTCAGGTTCGCTGGCCGGCCGGGAAAATACAATAAACTCTTTAATCGATGGAGACTGGAGGAGGTGAGTGCAATTAGGCATCACTGTAAAAGGGCTGGTTATTGCCTTCTTTTATCAAATATATTTATAATTGTCAATACATTAATTTGTCCAATGATCAGCCTATATAATGCTATATTAATCATTAATCTCCCACATAATTACTTGAATTGTAATGATCAAAAACAGAAAGGGATAAAGTGTGTCCCAGTATTCAGTCATGGATTAGAATTATCGGGCATGAAATATGGATTTCACACTTTTGTAATTCAACTGTATTTTTCTCAGTGTCACCCCAGTGGCTGTTTGATTGATCTCTGCCTGCAAATGGGAGTCATCATGTTCTTCAAACAGATCTGGAACAACTTCATGGAGCTCGGTTATCCGTAAGTAACATTATTTTATAATCGTCTTTCTATGAACCGTTTAGAAATGCCACCAGTGCTGTATATTCCAGTGATTGGCAGTTTACAAACCTTATGTCATTTCTGTTTAGTTTTTTTGTCCTTGAGCTCATTAGCAAATGAAAAGCTTTTTCTCCTGCAGAAACACATTAAATCCTCTTGTGTGCGGCTTAGAAAAAGGCTTCCTGCAGTGCTCAGTCAATTGTCAGAAATAATTGCTTTGAGTTGACAGTTAGCTACTCGCTACGTTTTCAGTTTGCTGCAGAACTGGTGGTCTCGAAGGAAGATGAAGAAAGGAGGTGGCGGAGGGCCCAACGTAGAGAACAAAGCCCAGCTTCCTCAGTGGGACAAAGACTGGAATCTGCAGCCCATGAACGCCCATGGACTGGTGGATGAATACCTTGAAATGGGTAAAACATTAAACCCTCTTTTAATGTCATATTTTGCTTTAAGAAGGAATGGAAGAAATCAAAGAATGTACGATGTGTGTGCCAAAGTTAAGACGGACCTCCTCTGAAGTTCATCCAAACGCCTCTTTTATCTGCAGTTCTCCAGTTTGGCTTCACCACCATCTTCGTAGCAGCCTTCCCTCTGGCTCCTCTCCTGGCTCTGCTCAACAACATCATTGAGATTCGTCTTGACGCCTACAAGTTTGTCACTCAGTGGAGGAGACCCATGCCGGCCCGCGCCACTGACATAGGTCAATGTGATCTCTGACTGCCCCCACACTTCCTCTTCTCTGTGACTCTGTTGTATTTTTAGATCACAGTCTTCTTCTAACAGTAAAACACTGCAGGAACAACACGTTTTTTTTCATATGGAATTAGCTATGTTCCCGTTTCCTCTGCTTCTGTAGCCCGCCATATGCTACTTCTCGCCTCCCACCAGCCCATCCCCCCATATTATTACTAACAACTCCCTCAACTGCCATATAATATATGACCAAATGGTTTTTGTGGCACGTTGCCCTGTCATTAAAGGAGGAATCCACGCTGTAACATTCAGCATTCTTGAGCTGTAATGAACACATTCTCTTTCACTCACACTGAATCAAAGAGAAAAAAAGCTGCTTCTAAGTTGAAGCTGACATTTACAGATCACACAGAGTCTTATCTATTGCAGAAAGGGCAGAGAGATTTCTCTCCGCTGACAGCACAGTAGCCTGCACAGACTTTTTGTAATGCCGCCAGAAAATAAGTATTGTGAGTCTGCATTTCAGGGCGTTGTTAAACTCATTTAGGTTGTTATTACTGTGCATAAGTACATTAGGTTTTTACCTTTTTCATTTGTTTATCAATATGTTCTGCATTATGCACTTTCTATTTAAAAGGCTTTGCAAGACTCGTAGAACTAAAGCTCCAAAGTGTTGTGTATGAGGACATGCAGGTTTCTGACTCTTTTTTCTCCTCTGGTTGGGCTGTCAGGTATCTGGCATGGGATCCTGGAAGGAATCGGCGTGTTGGCAGTCATCACCAACGCCTTCGTCATCGCCATCACTTCAGACTACATCCCCCGTTTTGTTTATGCCTTCAAATATGGCCCGTGTGTGGACAAAGGACACCACCACAAGAACGAGTAAGCACTCAAAATAATGTGAAAGCTTGAGGTGTATCCGGCAGAGTGTTACAGTCTGATAGCTTCTCCTTTCCTCCCTCAGGTGTTTGCGAGGCTACATGAACAGCAGCCTGTCTGTGTTTGAGATGAAGGACCCGAAGAACAGCAGCCTGTCCATATACTGCCGGTACAGAGACTACCGGGCGCCGCCCTGGAGCTCAGTGCCGTACGAATTCACGCTGCAGTTCTGGCACGTCCTGGCTGCCAGGCTGGCCTTCATCATCGTCTTTGAGGTCGGTCAGCATTTCCTTTTTGTGTGGTAACCAGCCAAACAAACAGCTACAACTAAATGTACAAAGTACTGTTTTGTAGGATTATATTTTTATTTTAATGAATTTATATTCTGTTATAAGTGCAAACCTCACAAGCCCAATTTTAGCAAGTTGAAAGCTGTGATCCTGTTTTGAGGAATTTCACTTGAAAACCCACAGAAATAAATCCCGAATGGCATGGTGGTCCCGCTAAAAATAGGCACCATGTTTCTTTCTTCTTTCCTTGAATAGTTGTCAAGATTTTCCTCTAACAACACTGCCATGTGCAATGATTTATATAGTCAGAAAAACTGGCAAAACATACACCTATAAAACATTACAGGGAAAATAAAAGTCCTTCTTTTGGTGCCCACAGTGTTTTCCTTTTCATGCTTATCGAACTGTGCTACACATACTGGCAACTAAAGCTTGTCAGATCTGTGGACGGTAACTCATAACTGATTAATGCCTCCCTCAGCACCTGGTGTATGGCATCAAGTCCTTCATAGCGTACCTCATCCCAGACATGCCCAAGGGTCTCTGCGATCGTATGAGGAGGGAGAAGTACCTGATGCAGGAGACGATGTACGAATCAGAGCTGACTCACCTGCAGAAGGAGCGGAAGAAGAAAGGACGGCGTTATCACCATGAGTGGCCTTAGCTTTAACCCCTTCACTGAAACAGCCCCCAACTCACAGGCACAACCTCCCCCTGCCTGCTTACTTATGTGTTTTAGCTTTGAGAGTGTAGCTCCACTCGGCTGATTCTGCACACCAAAGACACCCCGAACCCTGTTTCAGGCTCCTGAAACTGACCGCTCCCTCGCCATCTGTTCCACGTCCAGTGTTGGCGCTGCTCCTGGTTTCTAGCTCTGACGCCCCCCCCACCTGCCCCCGACCCCTCGCCCGGCTTCACCCAGCAGGTTGCCCCGGAGTCTGTGCTGTGTCTCGGCTTCACTTGGAAAAACCTGTGCAATTGTAATGTTTACTATGCAGATCAAGGGCTGCAGATCACCACTGTTCACCTTTGGCACCCACCCTGCACTCTCTCTATGTGGCAGCTAGCTCTCCGCTTGGACTCTGTTTGGTGCCGCTCGCAGCATGGCCGTGTTTTCCTCCCGTCACACTTCTGCTGGTTATATGTGACAGCGCTACTTTAGCACTTAGCGTCTCTTGTTGCAAAAGAGATTCTAGTGATGTGGCTAACCAAGAACAACGGACACTGTTCCTGCAAAGCGACTGTATATTGCCCTTGAAGCATGCTGAATATTTGCGGCAAGAAAAACAAAAAACAGCATTCATCGTGGAGGATGTGAACATCCATTTAGTACTTTGACAAAGAATTATCTTTGACAATATATAAAGTGCATGGAAGTATTGTTTTGTATCTTTTGATAGACCGTGTCTGTCATGAAGCCTGGTTCACGTGTGTCTGTTCTAGGTGTGTTACTCTGCTTGTGCTACTGCTGAGCTTGACTGTCTTGAGGTGAAGAAATGTGAACTTTAGTGCGATTTGATTGTGCCTACAGTTGTGCGCACCACAATTGTGTCACCAACTTCACGTGTGCCTGTTTGTGCTGCACGTGCTTTTTTTCAAGTGCAAGAAATATTCTCTCGTCGTTGTGTCGTGTGATCTTCTGTGAATCTCTCTGAACTCTCCTGTTAGGATTTGTTTTGGATGTGAGTCACAGTACCTACTCGGGTCTCAGATAATGGCTCTGAAACACGGCATACGTTGTAACGTTACTCCCATCATGAACAATATACACACTCGCATGCAGGAGCCACAAATCTGCTCTTCCGTTCTGCACTCGCAGCCTGTTTTTCATTTGTTGTTGGAAGCCCTGGACGTGGTTGAAACTTGGATCACTTAGACATACCTGTGGCTTGGATGTTCAGCTTGCAAAGAGCATCCATCCACTGTTACTCACTCACAAAGAACACCAACATAATACATTTCTAGTCCTTTGCCAAGCACACGGACAGATGCAGTTTCAGCTGCTTCCTGACTTTTACTGATGATAAACTGAGAAATTAGGTTTTTGTTTTAAGCTGTGACCTTTGTTGTGGTCACCTCTGATGTTAGGGAGAAGGGAACTCAGGAAAATGGGCAGCATGAGCGACACGTCCATCTGTGAGTCAAAATAATTTCCTGTTTCATTCATGGTGAGACACATAGTTGAAGAGTGAGTAGTATTGATGAGAGGGTTCGGCGCGAGAGCTTCAGTACAGGTCATGTTGATCAAATTACAGTAAATAATATTAAGTAGACGTGAAAGTTACACTAAACTAACTACTGAAAGATATCACTACCCTGACCGCATTGCACTAGATTGAACACTGACAAACTTACTTATCATTTTACATTATTTAATTGTATTTATTTATTTTGCATTTGTATGTACATTTTATGACGTATGTAATATTTTTATACTTTCTTTTATGATCTATCAGTATGAGTTCATCCGTATTCACCCCCAGATCAACAAAGTATTGTCCACATTTCTCAGGTGTCCTCTGAATGTTTTATATTTTCTAAGATGTAATCAAAGGTGTCCTGCTTTTTAGGAAATATACTTTCTGCACTGTAGTCCATGTGCATGACTATAATGCAAACTCACAGATACTGCATGTTTGATTTTACTTTGCATAATCACGAAAGGTATATCAGAGCAGAATCGCAGGTAAAATGGAGACAAACTGCAGGTTGTTGGTTAAGAAGTAATGATGCTTTCAGGTCATAGTGTTCAATCCATTGATCGCAATCATGTCATTCACTAGAGAGATTTTTTAATCCTCATTCCAGTATTTAGAAAAACTAGTCCAGGTTTTCTTCCCTGCTATGTGAACTTTAAAGATCTATGCATGTTGGTATCCTTGAGTTTGAACAGATGCAGATGTTTATGGCCTGGTACATTTGTACTGTAGAGTTTGCATGACCTGTTAAGTCATTAACAGCGTCTTAAACATATCACCCCCCCCCCCCTTTTTTTCATTTAATCCCTTTTGGAGGTCTGGACACGATGTCTAGTTTCTTGATGAAGCAGAAGAGTAAGAGTATTTTCTAAATAAAAGTTTCAGTCTGATTTATATATTTTGGTCTGGAAACAACACTTTTGAATCCTAAGATTTGTCCACTGGGAATGAGAATTGTAGAAAATGTTTACTTTCTAACAGCTGTGTTTGAGCTAATGAGATAGAGATAAATATTATAAATGTAAAACACCTTGGATGTTTGACTTACCCAGCCACTTATCCTTTCTTATTTTCTCCTGTCTAAAGGCATATGTTCACTTTCTCAATAACACATGCTGCACAGTGGTGGAAAGGCTGCCTTCATGCCTTCCACTGTTGGCGATAGCACAATATGGGTATTGCATAATGAGTAATAATGGCATGACCTTGCACATCTCTGAAAATATAGCAGTCTAGGGGGATTATGCTTCCTGTATGCCTCCTAATAGGATTGAGCTTGAGCAAGTGATTTACTTGACGTGGAAGCACAGTGAAGTCAGAGCGTGGATTAAACTGTACTATAAGGTGGTACCAGTCGTGACATGAAGTGTATCAATAACATTGTTTACTTCGTTCCTGTTTACATGTAAAAACCATATTGAAATGTATAAAAATAATGTAACATAAAATAATTTGGATATCACTCTTTTCTGTAATAAATCATGGATTGTATCTTTTAAAGCAAATCTGGTTTCTTCCTTTGTGTTACTGTTATGATATTATCAACAGACAAACAGCCGCAGGGCCTGGATGGTATCTTCTTCATGAAGTTTCACTAAATCTGCTTACAGAACAAAGAAGAGCGCAGCAAAGAGCAGGGATTGTTTTCTTTATTCCCCCTCGCTATTATCACAAACCACAAATCTTCTTGCCAGAGACAGTTCATATGACATGTTTTTGAAAAAAGGAAGAAACCCACTATTTGAGTAATGTAGGATTTTCCCTCTTCTTTATGAGAAGCTGCTGCTCAGCCCTCACTTCAGACTGCTTTTCCGCTCATGTCAGGACATTTAAAGAGGAAAAAACTAAATGGTTTAGATGAAGCTCTGATGAAAAATGCATAATACTTTAATTATTTCCTCTGTTCGGTATTTCTGTTGGATGACTACACCCAGATATTTGCTTTCACGTCTCAAACCAACAGACGTCACAAACTGGCTTAAAGAATCTTTGATTTCACAAATTTACCACGGTTGAGTCCCACAGAAAAACATTTTCAGATAAATATTTCTTGTTGTGCAACTGTCCCATATTAAGGAAGGTAGATGTCGTTGTGTGGTACTGGAAAACATTTAAGAGGATGCTGATAAAGTTTAGGCACAATCTAAGCAAACATGATGAAAATAATGAAAATAAGGCAAAAGATGTGGCGAAAGACAAAAGTAACATGTAAAAATGCATCATTGCAAGGATACCTCCTAAATAAATTCATCCTGCACACAGAAGAAAATGTGTTATCACCAAAATGTATTCCAAGTATCATTTGTAAAAGTACTTGTCTTGTAGAAAAAGGGCCACTGGTTTTTATCTGTTCTTTTTGTGAAAGGAACAGGAACACATAAAAGTGGGAAAAATCCCAGTAACTCAATGGTGAAACAATCAGCAGTGTACCTTGAATAATTACACAAACATGTGTTACGTTATATCACATGCTATGATTAACATAATCACATACATGTGTTTGCACAGTAACAGATGCTGGGCGAATAGGATGAAGCTGCTGGTATCTTCTTCCTACAAAAAGAAAAATGCTTTGGTTTAACACAAAATGTACAAAATGGAACCTAAAGATCAGTTGCACATTGCTGCCACAGTCGGGGGCTTTCTGCAGGGCGAAGGTTAACCTGTGGGTCTGTTCCTCAAGCGGCGCTTTTCACATATTGAGCATTTTTCCAGAGATGTAACTCAAACAAAGGCTTCATAAATCACTTTTGTTAACCACTCTCAGTCTCATACAGCCTGTAGACATTAGATCTCGGTACGGAACAGCACCTCCCACTGACTGATCCGCTGAGATTTGCAGTGCGGGTTAGGAAGGCAATCAGTGTGCTCGCGGAGAGTCTGGCCATAAATCCAACAGAGCTAAGGTGTAAAACAGGAATAGGAACCAATGATGACCAGCAGGGGACAAAAGAGTCACATTAACGACGTCCACAAATCATCATCAGCTAGCTGAGTGTAAGAAACTGTTTCCAACAGTACTGAATGACTACAACCTGCATTTAATTGGATGTTTTTTAGGAATGGAAAATATGTGTTTTCACAAACATAAATGACAAATAATGTTGATTAAAATGTGTCTCAGTGACTCCACGAGGAGGCCCAGTCAATGTTTAGCCAGAGTGGCAGCTTGGCTCTGGAGTCAGTCTGTTGGTCTTTTGGTCTATCCAGCACTTTGGTTCAAAACAACTACTCAGCATCTATTATGAACTGCAATGACATTTTTCACAGACATTCATGATCTCTAGAGGTTGAACCCCCATGACTCTATTGATTCCCGTTGTCTCTACAACAATCGGAAAATCTCCATTTTGTAGATGTTCACCTTTCCTTCAGACTTAAATATAGATTTGATTTGTGATATCCTGATTTTACATCTAGCGCCACCCACATGTCTAATCGAAGTTCCCCGATAGGCTACTTTCAGGTTTTTGTTTTTGAGCAAATACATGCAAAAGTATTGACATTCTCATCGGACACAGAGCTGTACTTTATGTAAACTTACTAGACTAAGATGGTGAACCTGGTAAAAAATGATCACAGCATTTAGCCTTTAGCTCTAAGCACTGCTGTGCCTGAGTGAAGCCTCACGGAGCCGCTTTTAAGTTGCTACACTTTCAAAAAACGTATCCCTGTCTCAGGCTGTCAGCATATTTGTCATAAATTCATTGGATTTGAGTCTAAACCGGCACGAGTGAAGTCCTTTCAAGATGACTTATAAGCATTTGAGCTGACAGCTTAAGACAAGCCTTGTTCAGCTTGTTGAAAGTGGGAACAATTTTAAAATCTGTTTTCATAAGTGAGCAATTTCAAGCAATAAAAAATGCATCCAAATTCTAATATTTTGTGTATAATGCATTTTCCACAGCAGCTGGTGAAGATAACAGTACAGCAGGCATGGTGTTACCATAGCTGGGTGAAAGAGGGGTAACAGATTAGTTGACCTGAGTAAAGCTTCGCAGGGAGAAGTGGCACACTTAAATTACTTTGCAGAGCTTGAATGGACACTTGTACAGAGGGTCAAGGCAAAATGCCGCTAATCTCGTGCAGCACCAGAAAACAGCACGGTTATTTGGATGACAGACATTGGATTTGATATTATAGGGAAAACAAAACTATTTGAAACATGAGCAATTTATGAAAATCTGTGCCTTTGCAAACAATACATATTTATTTGTATTTTATTGTTCTATGTCTCCTAATCAGAGGCAATAAAGTGCAGGCCGCAGAGTAAACACCTGCAAGTCGATCCAACATATTTTCCTCGCCTGTAAAATGTGATTTATTGCGTTTGATTGGCTGTCTGAACTCCTGTCCTGCTGGTTTGTGTTTATGAGCAGAATAATGTGTAAATAGCATTAAGCAGGTTTTGTGTTTACACAAATGTTTTTGAGTCCAGGTGTTGGCAGTGCTGGAGAAAATGACATGCCTGTTAGGACCCTTTTGTAAAGACACTGATGCTAATAGCCAAAGAGTGGAAGTAAATCAACATCCTCACTTTAAATGACAAATTGTGTAAAAATCCAATAAAAAACTGAATCAGTCCTGAAAACCTGCAAAGAACCTCTGGTGAGCCAGGGAACCTGACGTTATTTGTTAAACAACACTAGCATACTTTATGTAAACAGATTTTGTCAACGGAGAAAAATAATATACCACTAAAAAGCAGGATGAGCAGTGCAGGAGGCCGAGGGGCAA